AATATTTCAGTGTAAATATAATGAAAAAGGCCTGTATTTAGCTGTGAGTCTTGTGACTGTGACAAGAACCAGCTCCAGCTCAACACAGTATCATGTTTAGGAGGACATCTGGTGGACAGCTGGGGGAGAGTCTGAAGGCTACATCTGAAGACAGCATGGGGGCCGGAGTCAGCTGCATCGCGGACAAGCCTTTCTCTTTGGCAAACTCGGCGTCTGTGGAGCTCCTGCATTCGCCAACATATCCCAGACGCACTTTGCAAAGATCAATAAATAAGACAACTATTCACTTGCACTTACAGTGGAGAAGTAATTCAATGTAACAGGTCTGCCGTTTATCAGAGTGCAAAGACAAGAAAGAATGAAAACACAGAAATGTTTAGCTGCTGGTTTCTGCTCTTTTTCTGGATCATTCACATGATCTTGTTGTCCCAGCGCTCCAGCCATAGGGAGGCAGGCAAGGCTGGATTACCAACCAGGCAACTGTCCACACTGTGCCCTTTAATTTGTCCTAATTTCATTAATTCCAAATTTATTCTCCAAATTTTTCAGAATACCCCACCACATCACAATATCACCTGAAATGCCAAGGACCTTATAATGCTTGTTTGTCTTTAGTGACTGAGTGAGAGACTAAAGCAGGGAAGAGAGAGAGAGAGAGAGACAACAAAGGTCCCTGAAAGGAATCCAACGGGGAACGTTGCACTTGCTGGTTTACTTCTTAACCACTAGGATATCAAGACACAATGCATTGAAAAGGTGTAAGCAGTGTGTTTATCATGAATATTTGAAAGGGATGGGGAACATACACACTGCACAGAGACGGGGTTCAATAGGGGCCGACAGCTCATTCTTTTCTCCAGACAATTTCATAACATCCTGTTTTGTGGAAGGGGGGAAGTATGATGGTGTAGTATCATATAGGTCTACTCTTTCAGGAGAACCTGTGGTTTTTGTTTCCTATAGCTCACTTTATGAAAAACATGTCTTAGTTTTAGTCTCAATTTGGTCAAACAATAAGCATGAGGAGGCAGTGGTGCATACTGTATGTTTATTGAGACTGGGGTGTCTCCATGACTGTGAGTCTATTGCCTTCAGTGTTGTGTTTATATTGTAATACCTATTCTAGTCTCCTTAAATCTTGTCCCTGACGGGCTCCCCAGTCACTCACTGGGTAGATGGCTTACCACATATCAAGGCTTTAGCGCAGCGGCCTGGGTTTGAATCTGGCACTGGGCCCGCCTTTCTTGTCACTCTGTTTCATCACCGTTTAAATAAAGCAAAATGCAAAAAGAAAATAGATTGGCCCTGACCAACACCCCAATATTTCTAGTTAAAAAAAAAAACTAATAGTAAACTGACCTTTTTTAAACAATAAAAGCAAAACTGGAATGACTAAACCCACTCTTGAAACTAAAACTAAAACTAAAACTAAAACTAAAAACTAATTGAAAATACTAAAATAACTATAATAACTACAAAAAAACAGAGAACACTTAGTACGGACCGACGGCCACTGGGAGGATGAGAAGATCTCCTGTGGTGTTCAGGGCTGTACCTTGGTGGTATCAGTCTGATACTGAAGACTACACTTTGTGATGCGAGGTGTATCCCTTGATGCTCTGCTGTAACTTGAGAAGTGTCCCCCTCTCCGACACCTCTACAACAGAATCAAATTCCACCCCGAGGATGGAGCCATCCCTCTTCTCAATGACATCACAGCATACAACAGGACACTGGACACTAATAGTGCAATAAGTCAGAATCAAAGAGAAAACTATGTTTTCAGTTTATTCGCTGTATATTTTAAGCTTTTGGTTCACAGCTTCTACTTTTTTTACTTTTGATGGCGCACATACAGCAGTCATGCCATGGTGATTTGCTCCTATAGGTTATTTAGATTTTTGAGTAGTAAATAAAAAAATGGGAGTACAGATACTCACTGACGAGAAAGAAAGAAGAAAGAATGCCAAAACTAAACCAAAACCCAAACTGGACTCAAATTAAAACTCCCAAGCCAAAGTAAACTTTATTACATCTTATCTTCTGGCGCCCTCTGCTGCTATGGAGTGTAAAAAAAAACATTCCACTCTGTCTGTGAGTCTCTCTCTGAGTCTCTATAGAGGAATCTATAATTCTTTTACAAGATATAATGAATATTTATGAGCAGGGCCTTGGTCTGAGATCAGCCAATCAGCTGATGGCATGGAAGGCATAAATCAGCTGACAGCTTGCCTCTTCTGCTCAGTGACGGCCATAAATGGCACTGAATTATTTACATTTACATTTTTAACATTTAGCTGACGTTTTCATCTGGAGGAAGCTCAAATGGACACGTTAAGCTGCAGTAACTAGTTGGACAACATTAGAGTACAGTGGAGGGTGCATGGGTCAGAGGTCACAGTGCCTGATAATGGGTATGGAGGGATGAAGGAGGGCTCAAGGATATGGAAGTCTATGACTGCCAATACCATTTAAGGATTTGAAGGTTTATTTGTCGAGTAACATACTAATATATGTAGTGAAATGCAATGTGGTGTGCTTGTAAGGTTGTGCTACAGAGACCAGTGTATAATGAGGGGAAAAACATCATAAAGGAAAACAATTCAAGATAAACATTTTAAATACACGTAAAGAAGTAAATATTTGTGTGATCATAATGGGCCAAAAATATAGGCTGCTCTTAAGAATAAAACTGCCATAATGATAATAAAATTGACTTTTTAAACCTGCAAGAAAAAAATGGCAGATTGGACTTTTGCACTTCTGAGTTTGTATTATGACCTAATTTCAGTACAATTATAATGAAATGGAAACTGTCTTTTTAACAGTAATTTAATTGTTGATTACGACAGATTAAAAAAAATGTCTGGAATAATCCTCTTTTTTTTTCTTCAATTTAATAGAATGAATTCATTTTAATATTGGCAGCTGTGGACTTCCACAGAGGACATAAGGGACTTTTTTAAAGCATCCAAATCAGACTTTTCTGCTTAAAGCAGGAAATGTTGTGTAAAATTAAGCTTTATCAATTCCAGTTGTTAAAGCATACATAAGATAAACAATAGAAAAGTTATGAAAAATGTTATGTCTTTTTATGACATGAGTGGTGGAAAGTAACTAAGCACATTCACTCAAGTACTAATCCTACGTTTCAGAGGGAAGTATTGTACTTCACAACATTTGTTTGCCAACTTTAGTTAATTTGATAATTCAATACAGCTGTTGACTGTAAAACAAAACACAGTTACTGCTGACCTACAGCTGTCTGTCTCTCACTGTGTTCACTGTGTCTCAGCCATCACTCACAGTAATTACATTGCATACATCTTTATTATGTCCCTTCATCCTTCCTTCCTAAACCATTGTTTTATTCCTTCTGTTGGGTCTTTGTTTCTTCCTTTCATAATGCCTTTATTTCATTCTCTCTCTGTTTTTAACTACGTTCTCAGTGTGGCTCTAGGGATGAAAATGCCAGTCAGTGCAACTTTGCTCCAGACAGAAATGTCTCAACCACTAGAATGAAATGTGATACTTTCATGTTCCCCCCATGATGAATTTTCCTAACTTTTCCTCTGACTGACTGATCTGGCGCCATCATCAGCTAAACATTAAAATTTGAATGGCAATCGTGATACTTCAGTTTCACTCAACATTTACACATAAATTGGTACTCAAACTTAACTTAATTTTCACTGTTATTTCAACTACTTTCAGTATTTTGTTGTGAGTCAAAAGGTTATTTGATCTTAAGTTCTGTCTCAGAGGGCATTGAGTAATATTTTTTCCTTTTGGGGCTGCTCTACCTCCTGTCGCTCAGGAGGTAGAGCGGGTTGTCCACTAATCAGAAGGTTGGCTGTTCGATCCTTGTCCCTTCCTGCTGCATGTCAAAGTGTCCTTAAGCAAGACACTGAACCCCATGCTCCTGATGCTGTGCATTGGTGTATGAATAGATTAGTTTCTGTTTGGGATGAATGGGTGAATGTGGCATGTGGTGTAAAAAGCACTTTGAGTGGTTAGAATACAAGAAAGGTGATATACTACACAGTACAGTCCATTTACCATATAATCATTTTTTTTTATTATTAAACTGGGGAAGAAGATTGATTTTAGTTTGTCTACCTGAAATTATTTCTAAGCCATGTTAGCCTACATTTTGTCAAGTAAAGCTAATTGCGGATACATAGGTTGGCAATTCATTACATTCTTTAGAATTAAATCAAACAAATGATGTTGTTGTTGTAATGCATTATGTCATTTTGTAGATTGTGTTTAAAGTAAAACTGTTTCTACGTGAAAGGACCAGTATGACCTGTAGGATTTAGTGGCATCTAGCGGTGTAGTTGTAACTCCCTTGCTTCACCCTCCCCCTTCAAACGTGAAGGAAACGCCATAGTGGCCACGAAATGCACGAAAAACACACCTCTATCTAGAGCCAGTGTCTCCAGTCTTCTCGGCTACTGTAGAAACATGGCCATTCAACAGGGAAAATTCATGGAAGTCTGTAGATATAAAAGGTTCATTCTCATAAGGATCCCTATAGTCAGGTGATTACTAGAATGAAAACACAGTTTTGCACAATATTTTTATGCCAATAGATCTTCCTAAAAGTTACATAATGGACCTTCAATAGATATTGTAACATAAATTGTGGCAATATTACATATCATATTTTAAACGTGCCTATGGATTTCTGACAATCTGGGGAGCTTATCAACTCAGAATATCTACAAAGGCGGGACTTCCCATAGAGTAACCAATAGGTACATAGGACACTGGATGTGCTTTGAAAGGTCGTTCCTCGTAAACACGTCATTCCCGGCAATACTGTCCAATCAAATTAATCAAAGTGCATGTGGTCCCGCCCTCATAAACCTTACGACCAGTCAAAACATTGTAGTTCAATAAAGCTACATCCGATTGGCTAGAATGACGGACGTAACATGGCGGCGGGCCAATTATGAACGAAGGAGGGTTCTCTCTGACCAATGGGCGTTTAGGACGTAGACGCCGAGTTTATAAGTGACAAGGTGACAATCTGCACATCCCACATTCACTGACTGACGCTGTGTGCGAGAGCAGCTAATCCCGGACCCTCCGAAAGCCGTAACAAACCGGTAATATTTCATTTCATAGCTCCCACACTTCACATGTACTCACGTTGTTCTGTGTTTTGAATGCATGAGTGTCTGATATTTAAACTGGACGTCGGGAGTGAGTCGTGAGGAAGCTCGCTGTCATTGCTAACTAACAGTCGGTAGCTAGCAGGCTCGGTCGGCCATTCAATGACTTGGTTACTAGGAATGACTCCTGGTAGTATCCGTGCTCTCCGTTACCTGTGTGACAGGAAGTGGAGCAGCAGTGACAGGAGGGCCGTCTGTGAACAGTGGTGGTCGCTGTGCCGGTGCAAGCAGCGGGGCACACACCGGGCACACACCGGGCACAGCACGGCCCGGCTGCGTTCACAGGCACTTGAATGTAAAATGTCTGACAGTGTGGGGCCTAGCGTGCTTTGTATCAGTCCGCCGCTGCAAGGACAACCCGGTCCGAGACCTGCGACCTCATGTCGGCCGCTGTTGTTTCCCTGCAGCAGGGTCACTGTAGCAGGGGGTGCACTGTGTCTGCTTCCAGGCCCAATGTGACCGTCTCTGGTTCATTTTTGACCTTCAGGTCTGCAGACTGGTTAGCTTAGCAGCATAGCATAGCTTAGCTCCGGCGCTTCCCCTCTCATAGTAGGACATTGAGCCAAACCCGGGTCTAAACAGATGACACATTAGAGCAAGCTGACCTTCCGTCGGGCCTTGCGAGGGTTGATATCGGACTGCTGTTAACACAAAATACAGATGTGCTGGAGCCCCACCTTGGGCTAGGTGAATCTTGGAAGCAGAAATGCCCTCGAGGTTTCAGCTAATGGCGTCTGAAAGTGGGAGTGTTAAAGCCATTCATTGTGCAGCATGTGTGGATATTTAGCGGTTTATCTGGAGCTGATCCTCGCAGTTGTCGATGCAATTGGATTAGCCTCTTGGCTGAACCGGCCAGGAGCAACAGACTAGATTTGCTCTTCTCTATCAACTTGGTGCTAGTAGTCTTGACCTCTGCATACTGTTATCCTCTCTGTGACCGGGGCATTTTACCTCAAACTGGATTCTCTCCCGTGGAGGTGGACTTTTTATGCACTGGGAACTTGCTTACATGTGTACTTTGACCCTGAGCTGTGAACTGAAGGTAACTCCAGTCTACAGTGCAGCTGTCAAAGCTACAGGTCAGTGAAGAACAAACTGTAACACAGAGCTGCAGCCTCGAGCTGTATTAGATATATTAGACATGCACCTAACCCAGACTGCCAGTGCCCTTGTGAACTACATATATATATGCGTTCTCTAATACAGTGTACACTGTTTTTTGTCCTCTAGATGTCCACCTTTCTTTTGTTTTCATAACCTTTCCCCCATTGTCACGTGTTTGACAGGTGTTGGTGGCTTGTTTTAGGTTTGATTCCTGCAGCAGCCTTTAACCAGAACACCAAATCTGTGATTGTGCATGAAAACACTGACTACAGATGTAAACTGTTTACTCTCTCTCTCTCTCTAGCTTCCAGCCATGTACGCCTGCGCCAAGTTTGTCACTTCTCCTGCTGTGGTACGTCAGCTGAAATACTACTACAGAATATAATTCACATGTACAAGTGTAACTGTTGTGGGGTGTTAAGCTTTGTTTACTACTTGATTTAATGAGCATCAGTAACTGTAACGCAGCTGTTATCTTGTGAAGGTATTCAGAGAAGTATAAACCAACCTGTGGAACCCAAACTGTTAAAGGGACCTGACTACATTCAGTTTAATGGCTGCCTGAACTTTTGCCATCTTTATTTGTCTTCAAGGACACAGTAGTTCTGAATGACAACCATGTTTGGCTCGTGCTTTGACAGTTGAACAGTTGGGGTCATTTCCATGTCAGCTGACCTTGCAGCATTTAGGCATCTGTGTTGTGGAGGACAGGTTCCATATTTACATCTGACACTATGTCAGGACAGGCAGAACATCAGAGTGCAAGTTGTTCATACATAATGTATAATGTAGGGGTGGGTTGAATGGATACAGATGAAGTATTGCTAATGTATATCAGTCTTGCTCACAGCATTGCAAAATTGCCTGCTGTGGGCCAGTTATAGCCAGAGAGATGGATACCATTGTAGAACCAGCATCACTATTGTTTAAAAATATATGTACAGTATATGTAGCTGCTTTGCTATAACAATAATTTAAATTACTGATTAATCTGATCATTTTCTTGATTAGTTCATTTGTTAAAATGGTAAAGAGAAAATTTGATCCGTTTTCTCAAGCCTAAGGTAACGTCCTTAAATGTCTTTTGTCCCGGACAGATTCAGATTACTGCTAGAGGACTAAAGAAACAAGAAAGCGATCCCCTTTTCAGATGCTGAAATCTGAATTTAAAGAGGCAAAACAATTAAATCAAATTATCAAAATAGTTTGCGATTAATTTTGTAGTTAACAACTAATGACTGACTAATCCCTGCAGCTCTATATAGCTATATCTAAAACTACCTCTGAGAAAATCTAATCGATTTAGTGTGCAGTAATTTCTAGATAGTTTTGGTCCTTTGGTTTTGGGTGACATTGTGAAAGTGTGCTAATATGGTTACTTTTTGTCTTGTCTGTAGCTGCGTGGGGGGTCCAGAGTCCTCGCCCGGCCAGTCTCAGTCTCCCTCTTCAACAGACCTGAAGCCACAGTGGAGCAGCAGGTCAGTCCTTTGACCTTCAATGATCCTGCACCCAATTGTCTTTAAATAGCTGCTTACAACACACCTGACACATCCTGGGACGTGCATAGGGATGGCCGATGTTGATCACATCTAACTGTATATTGCAATGGGTATAAACATCTGGGTATAGTATTTTGTTTATCTGATAAATTGACCTTTTTAAAGGGATTGCATAATATCTGTATGGTGTAAAATGGTTCTGCAGTATTAAATAACATCCAGCATATTCATGAACAAAGATGTGATGGTTGGTGCTTTACTAACAATTTTGGTGTGTGCCAGCACTCCTCATATCCCGTCTGAACATTCACTGTAAATGTACTAAGTACTATATAGCAGACTGACAGTGGATATACTTGAATAAATGAAATGCATAAATGGCATTGAAGTCGGCTCCTGGCTGATGCAGTAGTGGCATGTACTTAGCTGTTTCTCCTCTCCTCCCAGGCCCTGTTGCCAGTCAGCCAGTCTGCAGTCCTGACCCGCTCCTTCCAGACCAGCGCTGTCTCCCGGGACATCGACACTGCCGCTAAGTTCATTGGTGCTGGTGCTGCCACAGTGGGTGTTGCCGGCTCAGGAGCTGGAATCGGAACAGTGTTCGGCAGCCTCATCATTGGCTATGCCAGGTAAAGGTTTGAATTCAGTTGTATTTGTATAGTGCCAAATCATAACAGGGGTTATCTCAGGACACGCTTCAAATAGACGCCCCTCCCCTCCCAGGGGGGCAGGGGGTGAGTTAGGGTCAGAACGAGAGAGAGAAAGCTAGGTGGGGTAGGTGCAACCATGATCCTCCATCTACCTCAATCCATGGGAACCTGTGATTAGCAAGCACAAACTCTGGGGAAGAAGTGAAGTTAGTAACCGGCATTAATGTGGTATTAATGTGTGCAGAAAGAGAGGAGCTCAGTGCATCAAGTCCCCCGGCAGCCATGGCTTACAGCAGTGTTCAGGACTCACCTGATCCAGTCCTAACTATAAGCTTTATCAAAGAGGAACGTCTTAAGCCTACTCTTAAATGTGGAGAGGGTGTCTGCCTCCAGAACCACAACTGGAAGCTGGTTCCACAGGAGAGGAGCTTGGTAACTGAAGGCTCTGGCTCCTGTTCTACTTTTAGAGACTATAGGAACCACAAGTAGCCCAGCATTAAGAGAACATAGTGTTCTAGAGGGGTAATAGGGTACTATGAGCTCTTTAAGATATGAAGGGGCCTGACCATGAAGAGCTTTGACCATTTTTTCACTCATGGTATGTGATACTCAGCACCCGTTTGGATTATCCACAGCGCCCTTGAGTGTTGCTAACTGGGGACGGCAGACAGTTTTTCAAATCCCTGTTATCAGTATTAGAACTTAGTCTTCACTAATGTGAGAATTTATAATCCAAAGCTCATTGAAATGGACTAGAGGCATAATAAAATTGAGAGGTAGCCCTGAGAGATGCCTCTTTTTTTTTTTTTTTCTTTTTTTCCATTAAATCAGTGCAGACTTCAACACAACAAAATATGCACCATAGAAATTGTATGATGTATGAACCCAGGTGTACAGCAGGTCTAGTGTACCTTTCCTCTATGTATCCCAATAAATGTGAAATTGACCGCATGTGAATGGGTATTTTTTCCCTCAGGAGATGGATCTGTGTGCCTCGCTTCCTGGGCGTCATGGATATCTGTGCCCCTTAGCAGTAGTACGGTCTCATACGTTAACATCTCCATGTCCCGTAAACCGAAAACCGCTGTTTCCCTAGCAATCCTGATGTTAGTGCAGTGGGTATTTCACCATCATATACCAAGGTGAAACGCAGGCAGTCCTTGATGTGCTGCACATGGAAATCCGTGTCAACCAAGGCTCAACCACACACTTGTATGCTATTGGTTGAGGCTACGACTTTAGCAGTCAAAGTTCACCAATGTTGAACTTCACACGATGCTAGAAATGAATCTGCTGCTCACATAGAAGTGGTGATCTGCTATTGACAAGCCAACTGCAGGGGATGGCAACCCACCGCTAGGAGTGGCTAGGCTGAAGAGACTGGACACAGCAGATGTGCTGTCTGAAACACAGCGCTACTCGTATCCCTCAATTCACAGCCCAGGATTACAATACCTCACACAGTCACGTAGCCCCCACCTCACTCGCTCTGGAAAAAACGCCTGACTGGAAACACCAGCAGTCTCGTTTTAGAAAATGCAGACTGGTCCACTAATTATCCCAGTTTGTCACAGCTGTGGCGTTTGATTTGCCGGCTCAACAATTTGTCAGTTTGATGAGTGACCCTGTTTATTGGCGACTCACAGCCATTGTGTAAACTAACTGCCGACTTTCTTAGGCAGAGAGTCTCCAATTAGCAGGGTCACAGACCAAGGAGGAGGGAGACGGAATGAAAAGTGAATGCCTTTTTGTGTTAATCACATGACACACTTGCAGAAGGCATCTAAAACAACCAGATTGCTGCTTAGTGTTCTCATTTGTTGTAAATGCAGAATGACTTTAATTTGTTTTCAGCGTTCGCTCACTCTGACATGAGCAAAACATTGAACACATGTGTCTTGTGGAAAAACACAAGCTGTGTCCACAAGTTTTGATTGTATGCAAATGAACAGTTAATTGGCTGCATATCTGACTTTGTGCACTTCTCCTCCACAGGAACCCCTCCCTGAAGCAGCAGCTCTTCTCCTATGCCATCCTGGGCTTCGCTCTGTCTGAGGCTATGGGTCTTTTCTGTCTGATGGTGGCGTTCCTCATCCTCTTCGCCATGTAAACCTGGAAACACACGCCCACAGCTCCCTTCACTCACCCGTTTCCTCCCCGGTCTCGTTTCCTTCCTTGCTCCCTTCTTCCTCCCTTCGTTCCATCCAGAAGGGGGTTTTCCAGAACGGGAACTCTGAATGAGCTGGTTGGCCGTTCCAATCAATGGAGAAAAATTAAAGGAAAGATATTACTATCTGAGGGTAACAAACCTCCAATCCTACATTTTTATGTTCCTACGCTTATTTTTGTTTTTCAGAAGTTTTATGTAAGACCTCACTTCGGTTGAAATAATCTGTCCAGAATAAAAGATTGGATAACTAAAAAGAGTCTGCAGTGTTTTCAATCTTTTTCTTTGCTAACAAAATGAACTGTTAATGCAAAATACAAGAGGAAGTTGTTGGAAGTCCCTCAATGTTTTCCCCTTTTCTAAATGACACTAGTTTGCAGCCACAAGTGTTTTTGTTAAAGTGGGTTTTTTATCAATTCTGACAGAATTGAGATTCCCATTGTGACCTCTGTAAAAACTTTACAACTTAGATTAATATCGTGATGATAGATATTGGCAAATGAGTTGCTAGTTGTGGAGAGGATAAAAAATGTCCTGCTTTGCTACATTTACTGATAACCTCAATCACATCATTTTCACATGGTTACTTTTTCCTATTTTCAAATGTGCTATTGTATCTAATATATATATTATATTAATCTTATATAGGATTTCAATTTTTACTATTTTTTGTTTTTTTGTTTGGGCTTGTATGTCTATTATTTTGAGTGACAGCTGAAGATGGATGGGGAAACATGGGGTGAGGGGCCGACATGCAGCAAAGTGCTACGGGTTGGAACTGAACTGGAGCTGCTGCACTACGGACTCAGCTTTAGGGAATGGGGCACACGCTCTCCAGGGGCGCTACTGAGCACTGATTTCATTCATTGTTTAGAAATGAATCCAATGATGGCGTGTATAACAGAGTGAAATCTATGAACACAATCAATCTGCAGTTCAGACAGTTATGGAATAACTAAATATTATCAGAGAGGGACCCCAGAGACTACATCAAATATGGTTCCATGGTCTGTATCAATTTAGGGCCCCTACACACCAAGAAGGTTGAGAACCTCTAGTTTGAAGGACCCCACTTGTGTTTTGGATGTTTCAACATTACACTGGGTTAAGCTTTTCCTTCCACAGTCTTAGTTTCCTTTCCTTTGATATCATGTTATGAAAAAACATTTGAGTTGTAAAACTTGATTGGCACTTCATTAGGGATGCAACTATTTCCAATCAATTACTTTGCCCATTACTTCCTTGGTTTACAGTTTGGTCCATAAAATGTCCAAGCACAGTTTCCAGTCTCAGGTGTCCTCAAATTGCTTTTTTTAATGCAAATTCTAACATAATTTACGGTGATATAAAATGGGGAGAGGGAGCAAATCCTCACATTCTATTTGGTTCATTTCTGAATGTATCACATGAACTGCTTGTCTGTAAATAGGTTGACTGTCATAGCGTAATTAAATGAGTAGAAACAAATGGCTGCAACAACACATTCAACATCATAAAAATAAATATACTACAGGAAACACACAGTAGTAGTGTCAATAGTATGTGATTGTAGGAGGATATCACAAGTACAGTATTGGTGGTTATACCAGATTCTGTCACTGTAATGTTCAGTCATAATTTATGACTCAATATTTTGCACATTTTAGCAGTGATTGATCTGGATGTCACATCAGAAGAGATCAGTTTTGGTAGACTATTGTAGTATCACTGGGTTTGACCTCCAAAGGCCTCCATAAAAAGTACAAAAAAAGGGTTCACATGTTGTTAGCGAACTTACCACATGATTATCATTCATGGCCGATTTTCCCATAAATTTTACATTTAATTATTACACTTTAATGTTCCGCGTACCACCACGCGTAATATTGCAGCAGAGCAATTTTACTTTGAAAGTTCCCACCGGATGTCCCGTGTTCTGTCGCCTCAGTCGGTCTGACTGCTGAGAAATCAGATCCTGAAGTTGCGTTGTGTGAATGGACTGGAGGGGATGTGGTCGATTTAAAACCAAATGTTCTCACACGATATTTCTCTAAACCTTTACCAACCGGACGGTGGGCTGCTTCATTAGCTGTAGCGAGGTGGACGAGGTAACTCTGCTGACGACTTTACACTTTTTTGGAGGCCTGAGGGGAAAAAACACACAAGCTAGCGATAAGTAACGTTAGCCACCATGTCGTGGGAAGAAATGCCTTGTTTTCTGGCCTCGCCTCTGCGCTCGGCTCTACCCCGTTCTTCTGCTCTCTGATCCCACTGGACAAAACAAACAGAGGTAACTTTCGCACTCAGCTGTCAATGCAGCTAACAGCTAGCCTTATAAATTAGTCAACACCAACGGTATTACTCTAGCTTAACGTTACTAGCTTGCGAGCCATGGCGGACAGCTTTGGAGAGCCGTCCAGCGGCGGTGCCCTTGGCTTAGGCGTTACCGGACAGGGCAGCGGGGCTCCGCTGCTGCCGACTTTGGGCAACTCTCTCCCAGGAGGACACTCGGCAGCCAGCGGTGCTCACTCCAGCGCTAACCCGGCCTCCCCTCCTCCTGCCGCGGCCGCGCAGAGTGGCCTAACCGCTGTGGTGGCCCCTATGTCCGCTGTCACTGCTACCACAGCCGGTTTTGGGAACACATTCAGCCCCGGCTCCGTGCCACCCGTCGTGGCCGTGTCTCCGACGGTACACGCTTCCTCGGCTCTACCCGGTGTCGGGCTAGGGGTTGCCGGGGTGGCAGGAGCGGGCCTCCTGTCCCAAATCCACGCCACTTCGTGGGACCCGACCCTCAGTACGGACTGGGACAATGAAAAGGCTTCCCAGCAGTGCATCCTGAGGATAAAGAGGTAATATAAACATTTGGGAAGTGGGAAACCAGTTTTCACAGTTTAATTCAAGGCCCTGAAATCTCAATGTAACGTATAAAAAATCGAAAGTGAAAGCTTTCCATAAAGTTTCAGCCATCTTTAGAAACCTTTAAGAGACTATGCAAATGACGGTAGATTTCAGAAAACTTACACTGTAATGTATTATTAATACACAGACCACATGTTAAACTTGAGATATAAGGACATGTAAACAACAGTGATTACTATGATGACTGTCTTTTTACAACTGTCACGTTGCTCAGTTGACCCAAATGACAAAAACACGCATTTCACTTCCCCGTTGTGGTTTGAGCCAAGTAGATTGTTTTGGATTTTCCTGCTTCTGTATTATCGAGATAGGCATCTATGGTTTTTCTGCTGCTATCTTGCACAATGAAGGTGGAATTTCATCTGTGGTCCTCAGAGCATTGAAAACTCAACAAGAAGCAGTGTCACCGGTACACAAGAGTTCAGTGTATAATAGTCCCAGTGATAATTGTTTACACCAAAGTTGTGGTCAGGCCAGGGACAGATCTCTGTGTACGATCTCTCCATCTCTACCATGACTTTTTCCTTTTCGGGAATCTCATTTGTGTCCCTCCCTGTCTTTCTCTGTCTCTGCAGGGATATCATGTCCATCTACAAGGAACCTCCACCAGGGATGTTTGTCGTCCCTGATCCTCAAGACATGACCAAGGTAAGTCTGAGGTCCCCTGTGACAACACAGTGACACCATGGCCCCATTTACACATGGTAATTTCCACTGTCTCATATCTGGATGCGATCAGGTGATAGAACGACAGCTCATTTCACTGTCACTTCAGACACAGACAGTGGCTGTTCCTACGCAGGGCTTACTGACATGGTTACACTTGGGAAGGGTAAAGATCACACGAGATGCATTTACATCTTTTCAGCATCTGGATGCGTTTAATCTTAGCTTTTTTGATATCCAGTAGTTATCCTATCCAGCCAAGACTCATGACCTAACAAAGTGGGGTCTGTGACCATATTGATCAATGCTTCCCATTGATTGTGGGCAGGGCCAAAGGCTCCAGACAATATCTGTAAAGCCACAGCCATATGCTATTTATACTGATGTGCTTTTGCTTTTCCTAATGCTACTCTGACAGTGTTGTAGGGATTGCTCTATGCAAATATTCACTTAATTAAAGGATCTTTTTGCGGTGTCCAGATAGCACCCGATGTACCACGGCTGAGTCCCCCCCCCCCTCTCTCCCCACTTTCTTGTCACTCTTCAGCTATCACCATCGATTAAAGGCCATAAAAAGCCCCCAAAATGACATTTTAATATATTATAACTGAGGTTAGGTCTGAGCGATATGGTCTAACAAAAATCTTCATTTAGTTTTTTTCAAACGTGGGAACAATTCATGACCGAATGTTTTCCTTTTTAAGAAAAACACAAGAAAACTAAAATATTATTAAAGCCACATGTTTTTAATGTTTTTATGACTAATAAATACAAGACCTGTACCACCTGCATGACTGTCATCATTACGCTTGTTTTTAGTTATCTGCTGTCAGATGCTCCAGCAAAGTAAAGCACAGTTTAGTCACTTTCAGAACCGAGAGAGCAGGAACGTCCGCACACTAATCCGTCTGCTCTTGTTGTTTGTGTTTTGATAAGACACCAGCCTGATATGATGTGCTACCTGGCCAGATGTTAGGGACAAACTTCAATATGCAGACTCTTCTTCATTCAAAAAACTGAATGTGCACACTGGGCCTTTTGACCCGTAACCAGAGATAATGCCTCGTCAACACACAGAGAGCACAGATCAGTGTCTGTCCCTCTCATAGGTGCGACTGCTAAATTCACTGCGAGTTAGCCGGAGCCAGCTAGCCACACTACAATCACACTCTTTAAGACGATCAGACAAATTGAAAACAAACTCAGAGGTTAGCTAAATGTACTGTATTTGGACCGTAAACCAAAGACGTGGAAGGAGGCAACCCACGCTATCCTTACCGGCTAGGCCCCTTGCTTTTTTTTTGAAGAGATTGGTCTCTAAAATTGACGGTGTTTTGTGAACAACATAGGGCAGTCCATCAGGTGTGTGTGTGGTTGAGTGACAGAGAGCAAACAGCAGAGGAAGAGGGGAGCAGGTTGTCAGTGAGTGCAGTCTGCAGCTTCTCAAACTAAAGTAAAGCTCCTGTGCGTTTGTGGTTTCCCTACTGCTGGAAGAGTGAAGGGCATTGCTGCGTTGAAGACAATGTTTGGCAGTTCCATGCGGCTGTGCATGGAGAGGAGGGTCTGTTCACACATGGTCAGTTGTCTTTGTTTGTGTGTGAGAGAGAGCGACATAAGGAGCTGGGCAAGGAAGGGCCTGGCCAATCAATGCGCTGCCCCGCAGCTCTACAGTCAAATAAGATTTAACCCATTTTAAATAGTAAGAAAAATAGAAAATCAATATGTGGCAGTCGATGTTGATGGTGTGGTGGGGCGCCACAAATAAATCAATGTATGGGCAACACTGTGATCACTCTTTGTCAGTGTTTATCACTGTAACTGTATCTCTGTCTCTCTGCTTGACAATTCAACATTTAGAATATGAACACTTTTAATAACAATAACAGTAACATTAATCTTTGATCATTTTTACAGAAGAAAAGATGAACTGGAAATGGTCCAAAAATCGATTTGACAAAATAATCTTAACTTAACTGAGCCATCTCCATGACAACCTAACAAACTTGATCTAATTCTGATGAAGACCATTAGTTGTGGGTAAAAGCTCTGGAAAAAGCTAACCAGTGCACATTGAGTTAAGATTATTTTGTCCAGTAAATTGCTTCATTTATTACATTATTCATAGATTGTTTGTGAGAAGCAGCCAGTTTGTTGGGCGCTATCAGGGACTTCTCCAGCATGTGTCACACTTTGACTGCCTTGATGGGGGTTTCCACTTCAACCAGAGTTGAAACCACACTGGGAACTACGATTAACAAAAAGGGAAGAAGTGAAGTGTTGAGGTCATGGAAAACTTCTTCTCTCTTTTCTACATGTCGTCCTCACATGGATGTTGTTATATGTATTCCAGGATCTACGTACCCCTTTGATGATCTCACTCAACCTTTTCCTTTTTCTTTTATTTCCTGCAGATACATGCCCTGATCACAGGGCCGTTCGACACACCATACGAGGGCGGCTTCTTCCTTTTCTTGTTCCGCTGCCCCCCAGACTACCCTATCCACCCACCGCGGGTCAAGCTCATCACCACCGGACACAACACTGTCCGCTTCAACCCGAACTTTTACCGCAATGGCAAGGTCTGCCTCAGCATCCTGGGGTAAGTCAGGGTTCATTTGTTTCATAGTTTGCATGAAGGATTGTTGGTCATGATGACAAACAATTAGTGTGTGTTAATACACTGTAAACTACTACCGGTGTATGGTGCTATAACACGTGTGTGTGTGTGTGTGCTAAAAAATGACATGAATTCAGTACACCAATATTTCTCCTAATTTCCTAGAGATGGGAACTCGAAACACTGGTTAAATTAAAACCAGCGTTAAACAGGCTGGTGCAACATGCCTTTCTCCACACCCGCACCTGTTCTCACACTGTGTTGCAGACTAAGAGACAATAAAGAACCGTCTCCGTTTAGACCCCTGAAGAACCCTGCGTAGGCCCTATTCTGTTTTCTTTTCTTCCACACCCACGGCAACAATTGCTCCAGGAATTGGACTAAAAAAGAAAAAAGTAGAGAAAGAAAAAGAAGACTTTATTACGGGCAATTCGGTATCGAAGCTAAAATCCTTATACAATTCCCCCATCCCTACGGTTGGAACATCAAACACAAACACAGGGGTAACGCTGTTCACAAGCCAGGTGTCATTGGTGATAGGGGTTCTCCGTCAATCAGACGACTGGATGGAGATGAGGACAGATGAGATACTACTCTGGGCCTGGACACTCCATGCTGCGAAAAAACTGTCATGTCCTACCACACACACACACACACACACACACACACACACGACAACACACACACACACGGCACACACACACAC